AAATAACCAATGTTTCCAATGGTGTCCTGTTAACAGGAGAACAGATTCTTACTGAACTTATGCAAATGACTATGATTGTCATGGAAGAAAGAATACTTACCAAGACCTTTTGAATTTGAGGGTTCAGGTAAAGAGAAAAGTTAAATGCTTTAATTTGTTTTATTATTATTTCTGTATATCACTGATGTCTTAAGAGAAAGTCTCCTTAGTCTGGAAGAGCATGTATTAGAGAACCAGCAACGTTTCAACCAAAAGTTGCAAAAAGCTATTTAGTTATTTTTCCCAATTCACTTAGTCCCATATTACTATTCTTGGTAGGTTTGAATGCAGATTTAGCTAGTTCTGGAAATTCTTACCCATTTCAGTTTTAATCTTAAAGACATCGAATACCTGTTATTTGTCCTAAAAGTCTCTTATATGAATCTCCTTAAAGATGGTACAATAACAATAAGTGACAAGACTCAAAAATGGACATGGTTAAAAATCTGATGAGAGGGTATGATATAGCTGGCAAGAAAAGGTGTTATTTCTGTGACACATGACACTTCAATAATCAAAATATTAAGTGATGGTCTTATACCAGAAGATATAAACCTTAGGAACTGCATATCATCTCTAGAATAGTTATGGCATTTACCCAAATATAACCTAAGTCTTATAATTTGTTTAACAGTACTTTTGGAGTAACTTAACATACCAAATAAAAAGGTCTAATGAGTCAAGGAGACTTCATTTACAATTCAAATCTTGGAAAGTTTGTTAAAAAAAAATCAGTTTTTTTTAAGCACATGTCTAAATAGGATTACAGATCATTACAAAACTCAATTATTTTTATTTAACCAAGGTGACAGTAAGAGATCCCAAAGGCAAATATGTAGGGTTGTAGTTGTTAGCAACTTAGCTCCTTTAATATTGAGAAGTTTTAACCAAGTGACCGAAGACCTGATAAAGACAAAACATAGAAACTGGTTTTCTGGGCAGACAAAAGAGAAAAAACCTTTGTTTACATTTTCTTATCAAGAGCAGACCAATAATTCAAGAAAATTTTGTCTCTTGAACAGAAATAGAATTTCAGTCTTATACCGCTGTACTTTTAAAATCCATTTATTTTAATCTTAGGTTGTTCTGACCACACCTAAAATTCCTTTCCAAAGATTTCCCTTCACAAACCTACAACTTTCTTTTGTACTCAGATTTTGTCCTAAGCTATTTCTCTCCAAACAACCAGCTTATTTAGGACAAGATTACCTTATTTTACCTTCAATAAAAATGTGTTCCCATTCCTTAGATCTTTCTTACATTATCTCCTCTTTTTTTTGAGAGAGAGAGAGAGAGAGCACAGGGGTGAGGAGGGGCAGAGACAGAAAGAAAGAGTCTTTCTTTTTTTTAAAGATTCTATTTATTTGACAGAAAGAGCACAAGCAGAGGGAGAGAGGGAGAAGCAGGCTCCCTGCTGAGCAAGGAGCCCGATGCGGGACTCGATCCCAGGACCCTGGGATCATGACCCAGGCCGAAGGCAGCCAGTTAACCGACTGAGCCACCCAGGCATCCCAGAGAGAGAGAATCTTAAGCAGGCTCCATGCCCAGGGCAGAGCCCAATGTGGTGCTTGATACCATGACCCTGAGATCATGACCTGAGGTGAAATCAAGAGCCAGACGCTTATCCAGCTGTACCACCCAGGCACCCCTCTCCTGCTTTTCTATATACAGAGTTGCTTCCCTTATTTCCATCAGTCTTAATTACATTTAGTAGAATTTTGCACTCCTAGAAACCTTAGTCTCCAGTGAAACTAAGTAGTAACCAATTGTGAACTGTTGAACCAAAACTTTTTGGATGGCAAATTTGTGAATCAGTTAAGCACAAAGCATGTTTACCAACAGGCTCAAATATCCTTAGGTTCTTTGCAATAAGTAGTCAAAAACACAAACCTACATCCAGTACTCAATGCTTTAGCACTTTATCCTATTTTGGAAAAGACCCAGATTTCCAATGAATTTAATCCCATCCAGGCAAAACTTTAAAGTTTCAGGTTACCAAACACTTTGAAAGCTATCTTTACAATTACCCATGAAAACTTTGAGACAGACAAAATTAACCATCATTTTAGGTCGTCTTTTTGCTAACAAATTGCAACAGAGATAACACGAGGTTATTTGACCTTTAGTAAACCTCGGTAGAATGAAAGTTTCACATTTAATGCTGATAACTCTAAAGACATGTCTGTTTTAATTAAACCAACAAACTTAAATTAGTTTAAATACTGAATTATATTCCACCTGGATCCTTTTTTAAAAGTCAGTTTGCTCCCCATTGTCAATTTTTACCTGAGACACTGGTGGGGAAATCTGGAGTGGGTGGTGTTAAGTCAGGGGGTGCTCTTCTTTGCTCCTTGACAGCAAGGGGAGGAGGAGGAGCCACCGAGGATTGTCTAGAAGGCCTAGAAGCCCACCCAAGGTGGTGCGGAAACAGGAGGAGGGGGAGGGGAAGGCAGAAGTGAAGGCTGCCAGAAGGTAGAGAAAGGGTTCCGGGTTCTAGAGCTCATCAGCTCCAACAGAGTGAAAAATGGACAGGCAGGGCTAGGTAGGGAGAGATAGATAGGGGGCTCCATGATTAGGCTCACAGAAATCTCAACAACGTGAAGGTGTAAGGAAACCAGAGATAAGGGAACTCTCCAGATCACCCTGCCCTAGGTGTCTGAGGGGGGGAAGTCTTATTTATGACAGTCTTCTGTGGTCAACAGAAAATAAACAGACCCTAAAAAAAAGTAAGCCATTAAAGATGTTATCACTAGGGGCGCCTGGGTGGCTCAGATGGTTAAGCATCTGCCTTCGGCTGAGGTCATGATCCCAGGGTCCTGGGATCGAGTCCCACATTGGGCTCCTGGCTCAGCAGGGAGCCTGCTTCTCCCTCTCCCTCTGCCTCTCTCCCTGCTCATGCTCTCTCGCTCTCTCTGTATCTTTTTGTCTCAGATGAATAAATAACATCTTATTTTTTTTAAAAAAAGATGTTATCACTAGTCCTCTTTACACAAAGTTGCTGTCAGTAGAGAAGTCAAAAAGATTTAAGTTCCCTGGTTTGCTTTCTATAAAAGACCCACCCTAAAAGCCCTCAGTGGCGATCCTGTTGGGACCCCTCTCATTCCAGAGGGCTTTTTTCTGTACCCTTGACTAATAAACTTCTGACACTTTACTCACCCTCCTTTGTCCGCAAGATTCATTCTTCGACTCCATGAGACAAAAACCTAGCTCTCCTGCTTCAAGAGGCACAAATGCCATGTTTTCCCACCAACAAGGGGGAATAGGCAATCCATGTTGGGCTGGAGAAGGCAGGGAATGTCCCTGAAACAAAAGGGAGTTTCAGCAGCTGCTTGGGACTATTCCTTAAAGTCCCAATTCTGAGGTAGACTAACCACAGCTGGCCCCAGTTATAACCGTTAACCTGGGAAATGAGTGACAGAGAAGCTCCCACATCTATTAGGAAAACAGTGAAAGAGAGAGAGAGAGAGTCAAGAATCCCCTTAGTTCTGGGATGGCCTGTATTTCTTCCAGCAACGTAGGTTTACTGGGAGGAGGCCTATTTAGATAATTATCATCCAATATGTCAGGGATGGGGGGAAGTTTACTAGCCAAACACATTCTGCAAGAGGCCCTTAGGTCTGAGTCCTGATTTAGAACCCCTAAAGCCTAGATGGACCTAGGATACCTCTATTTGCCCTGTTTCCTGCAGAAGAGATCTAACTGATAGATCCCACTGAGGCCATGCAGTGTTACAGGAGATCAGTCCTTTCCTAAGTTTTACAATCTGAATTGTTTCCAGTGGGTTAAGTGAAGCAGCAGCCTACAGAGGCCACGCTCCTGGAAAAGTAGAGAAGGTGCATTACCAAAATCACCCCTGACTCCCAGGTGGCATCCCACGCAGGATATGTCAGAGGTTCCATGTGTCAAAAGCAACCAGAAGCATCCCTCAAGCAAAAAATCGCTACTGATCACAATCGTGCTTCATCACGAAGGCATTCCTGCCATAAAAGACCCGGAAAGAATGCTGGCATCGCTCCCCTTCCCCGTGCATCCTAGGCTACAGATGGGTGCCTGGTGAAGGGACTGAAACACCGCACTGAGCTGTCCTATGTCCTGAAAGCTGCGTTATCACCCTGCCATTTTTAACCCATGGAGAATACTAGAAAAGTTTTACAAGGGGAAATTACCCAATTTTGTAATTTAAGTAGTTAGTAGAGGACATTGACAGAAAACAGTAAAGATAGAAATCCATCACGGTCCTAAGCAACATTCAAACACATGTAGTCTTTATAGCTGATGAGGGAGCAGAAGGCTAGCTGAGGACAAAGCTGAAGCTGGCACCCTCCCCCCTCCCCACCCCCTATATGTGTGACATTCCTCAGGCACTCCTGGCTGCCCTAAAGGAAAAGCAAATGGTTAACTGATAGAGATCACCGTCCTGCAGGACAGGAGTCCCCCTCAGTTTACAAATGTCCTAGTGATTTACACGAAAGAAGCTTCCTTATCAATAGCCTAACTTCCAGAGACCCATAACTCAGTTTCCTGAAGCCCTAACATCACCCTCCCCTCCATAAAATTGAGGAAGGCTGAGCTAGAAGGAAATGTAAATAAAATTGAATTTCTTCTAAACCTAAAGCCCATTGACAAGGACATGGGATAGGAGGAATGTAACACTCCTGCAGGAAACTCCCAACTGTCTTCATGTTAGTGCCTGTTAGATGGAAAAACAGCCTTGGCTTGACAATAACCAGGTCTCCATTATCCTGAGAGTCTTCTTTAGCGTATGACAGTCCTTCTGAACACCCCCTTTGTCTTCACCTCCCCAGCTCCCAAGTATATAATCAACCACACCTCACAGACCAGAGCAGCTCTTTCTGCCCATGGGTCCTGTCCCCGGGCTTTAATAAAATCACCTTTTTGCACCAGAGACGTCTTAAAAATTCTTTCTTGGTCGTCAGCTCCAGACCTCACACCACCAGACCTCACTTATATTCTAAAACTTCATCACAGCCAACTTCCCTAGGAAATGGTCCTGGGTTGGACTTTAGGTCAATCAGGTACTGGTTTTGGCCAGCTCCCGGTGGAGGTCCCGTGGCCAGAAGCGGCTAGAGGAGAGATGTGGAGGGGATCACATTAGACCAATGAGGAGGAACCCTCACATGTGAGTCTTAAGATTGGTAGCCATCCTGGTGATTTAGGTAGTTGTCTTGTGCCCAAGACAGACAATTTTGTATAAGAACAGCAATAAAGAGAGGGCATCAAGTTTCTGGGTCTTATTACCATTCCAGCCAGGGTACTAACTTCCAGCCAAAAGACTGGCTTCCCATAGAGTAGGCATGGGCTGGAGGATTGGAACCCGAGCAATCAACATGAAAGTGTTCCAGTAAGACCGTACTCCTTGAAAAGCCCCTGGAATGAAAATAAAGGAAGAGAAAAGTATTTACCAAGTTTGCGCTGAATCTCAAGAGTCCAGATAAGACTCAAAGCCCCACATTTGAGCACCATATGATGTCGTTTCGGAATATAGGTGAAGTGGGGTCTGGAGCCAACGGCCAAGAAAGAATTCTTGAGACATCTTTGGTGCAAAAAGCTGGTTTTCTTAAAGCTGGGGGACAGGACCCATGGGCAGAGAGAGCTGTTGTGACAGGGTTGTGAGGGGTGGCTGATTGTATACTTGGGAGTTGGGGGAGGTAAGGAAAAAGGGAAGTTTTCAAAAGAACTTTCATAGGCTAAAGAGGACCTACAAGATACTGGAGGCCTTGCCGTGGTCAGGGTTGTTTTCCCCTCTGGCAAGGCATTAAGACAGTGCTATGCAGAGATTGCTCACAATGTCTCCTCCAAGAACTGCAAAGCTATTGTGGAAAGAGCAGCCCAGCTGACAATCAGAGTCACCAATCCCAATGCCAGGTTGTTCAGCGAAGAAAATGAATAGACAGCTTGTTGTGCATGTCATATTTGTGTTAATAAAACCATAAAACTACAAAAAAAAAAAAGACAGTTGGGAGCTACCTGGATGAATGTCATGCACATCCCACGGAGCCGGGGGAAAGGTCACATGGTGTCAGCTTGTGCTTTGTCTACAGCTAGCCTTCCGCTCCCTCATCATGCAAACAAACAAAAGCATGAATGCCTCAGAGAGATATTGAAAGGTTGGAAGACCAATATCATTTTAAGTCTAGGTCCTTTATATGTTTGGTTTTTGTCTTGTTTTTCTCTCTGGAACTTTTGGAGTCTTTTTTATATCAGGTGTTAGAAATTTCATAATAATATGTCAAGATGTGAACCTTGTCCATTCATTGTGTAGGGGGCCCTGGGGTGGACCCTCTCAATCAGGAAATCATGTCCTTTGATTCTAAGAAAGGTTTTTAAAGTAATCCTTTCATTATTTCTTTCTTTTCATTTTCCGTTTTTTTCTTTCTGGAGCTCCTATTGTTTGGATATTGGGCCTTCTGGACCAATCCACTAGTTTTAGCTATTTCCTAATCTCTATGTAGAGGACAAATAGGTGGGAAACCAGTAAGAGTATTTCTCAGTTTATACAATCAAAAGAAACCACGAATGGATGATCGGGAGACTGAGACCAGCTGAGTCAATTAAAAAAAAAATCAGAATTCTTTATTCAGGAAGATCTGAGCTACTTTTCAGACCCATAATTCATTGGCTAAAAGAGAGGGTGATTCCCAAGGAGGAAGAATGCTGCAAAAATCCCCTATCCTTCCTCAAAGAGGTATATGGACATTATTTGGGTAACTGTGTGCTGGGGAAAGGGGAATAACCAGACATTTTGAGGGCTTTTAGATTCAGGGTCTGAACTGATATTGATCCTCAGGAATCTGAAATAGATCACAGACTGCTATTTGAGTAGAAGTAGGTGGGGGCCAAGTAGTAAGCTGAGTCCTGGCTCAGGTCAGGCCCACGATGGATCCACTGAATCTGTAGCTCAGCCAGTGGTCGTTTTGCCAGTCCCTGAATGGATAATTGGAATGGACACCTGTGATAGATGCCAGAACCCTTCATTGGTTCTTCAGTCTGTGGGGTAAGAGCTACTGTAATGAAAAAAGCTGAGGACTTCCCTTTCCAAAAACCTCAATACAGTATCATAAAAACCAAAAATATCATGCCTCAGGGGGAATGGCAGAGATTAGAGCCACCCTTAAGACCTAAAAGACACAGAGGTAGTGATCTCCAGCCAGTCTTCATTTGATTCACTGGTCTGGCTTCTAGCGAAACCAGTCAAATCCTGGAGGATGACATTGCACCATCTGAGACACAACCAAGTAGAGGTCTCAATTACAACCATTGTGCCAGAAGTGATATTTTTGCTAGAGCAAATTAACATAGCTTCAGAGACATGGTATATGGACATTGATCTGATAGATTCATTCTTTCTCAGAAGTATTTTTCTTTTTTTTTAAGATTTGTCAGAGAGAGAGATAGCAAGAGCAGGAACACAAGCAGAGGGGGTGGGAGAGGGAAGCAAGCATCCCGCCAAGCAGGGAGCCCGATGCAGGGCTTGATCCCAGGACCCTGGGATCATGACCTGAGCCGAAGGCAGACTCTTAACGACTGAGACACTCAGGCGCCCCTTAGAAGTACTTTTCATATAGAGTGTATAGCAGCTTACATTTACACTTTTGTCCCAGGACCATGTTAATTCTCTCATCCTCTGTCGTAATATAATCTACAGAGTCTGAACCATCTGGACTTTCTGCAGAACATCACATTGGTTTACTCCATCAATGATGTCATTTTAATAGGACCGGAGGAGTAAGAAGTGGCCAAGTGCATTGGAGACCTCACCCTCCAGAGATCCCACCTACAAACTCCTACAAAGATTCCCTGCCAAGTCAGTAAAGGTTTTAGGGGTACAGTAATTTGCAGCATGCCAGGACAACACTTCCAAAATGAAAGGCAAATTAGTGCATCTTGACCCTCACACCACTGAAAGGAAGCACAATACCTGGTAGTCCATACTTCTCTGATTCATTTACCAAGGAATAGAGAAAGCTGCCAACTTTGAGTGGGACCCAGAATAGGAAAGGGCTCTGCAGCAGGCCCACAATGCAATGCCCTACCACATGGCCCATATGATCTGGCAGACCCTTTGGTACTAGAGTTAGCTCTCGTGCCATGCAGTGTTTACATCAATCCCCAGTAGGAGAAATATAATTTATAACACTTGTGTTCTGAAGCAAGGCCATGCCATCTGCATCAGAGAATTACATGCCATTCAAAAACCAACTCCTACAAGCCACTTGGCTGCATAAAGGTAAAACTCCCGTTGGTGAGATACCAAAATATGTTGGGGCCAGAGATGCCCATCATGACCTAGATTCTGAAAAGCCCATTTAGTCATATGCAGGCGCAGTATAATCCATCAGAATATGGAAGTGATGCATCCTGGGATTGAGCACAAGCCAGGGATAGAGAATACAAAGGAACTGGGTGAAGTGGTGGCCCAGCCCCCAGGTCGACCTCCACTGGTGCACTAGTGCCTCTCCTTCAGCTCACAGCTGATCACATGTTCAGGAGAGGCTGTTACTTAGGACCGGTCAACAGAGGAGGGAAAAGGCCACTCTTGGTTCACCAGTGGTTTAGTTCAATTATGTGGTGAAAGCTGAAAATAGACAGTGATTAGTTACGATAAGGTCATACTGGAGTCCTTATAAAAGAAAGGGGAAATTTGGATACAGAAATGCACATGTGAAGAACACCACATGAAAGTGAAGGGAGAGGTCAAGGTGACACTTCTACAAGCCAAGGAACTCCAAACATGGCCAGCAAACCACCAGATCCTAGGTGAGAGCCTGGAACAGATTCTTTCTCACAGCCCTAGCAAACTAACACATCACATAATATCACATTAGATCAATGACCAAATTTGTAGCAAAAGAGTTATAGCAGAGGTGATAAGGGCATGAAATTTCCTGGTTTCATCAAATTCAGCACCACCCAGAAGCTGCCAGCCTGACAGATCAATGACATAGCCTCTTAAATAGGCAGCTGGGGTGCCTCTTGGAGATGCTGCTTTGCAAAGGTGAGTCACCATCCACCAGAGTATAGTGCACATTCTGAATCAATGACCACTATGTGTGTGGTCCCAGTAGGTAGAGTGTATGGGTCTGGAAATCAAGAGGTGGATGTAGGGGTGACCCTGTTTACCATCACTCACATTAAATCAGGTGCCATTTTCAAGGTGTCCCACCAACCACAACACAAGTCTCCTCAGGTCTGGCCATATTGGGTGGGGACTGCTCCCACTAAGGAACACAGCAAGAACCCCATGACCAGCTATGGCTGGTCGTTTCACAGATTTTTTGCCAAGAGAACAGCAGGCAAGAAAGTGTCACTCTCCTGATCATTGGAGGGAAATAGGACTCCTGTTACACAGTGGGGGCAGGAAGAATATATTTGGCACCCAAATGATCCACCGGGGTCTCTCGGTATTTTTCTGTCCACTTTTGACAGTGGGTGGACAAATGCAGATGCCACAGACTGAGAAAGACCTTGTGACCAAGGGCCCATACCCCTCAAGGATGAAGGTCTGGATAACCCCACCAGGTAAGTCACCTGAACGGCAGAGGTGCCTGGGTAAGGGCAATAGAGATTGGGTAGTAAAGGGAGACAGTGAATATCTAGTTGCCACCCCAAGACAGATGCAGTGATGGGGCTCAGTTTGCCAGCTGAACATTTATACCAAGCAAGTGGATTGAAGTGGTGCAAAATATTGACCTAAGTGGAGGCTGTGGTCCATTGCCCAGATCCCTGCCTTCTGGACCAGGGCACTCATTCCCCCAGCTTTTGGGAGCATTGCCTGCTAAAGACTTGTAGCTGAGATCCCCCCAAGGACTCACCTCCAGCCAAAGATAGCTGCCTCACCTGAGGTTGCTGCAGAGAATCCATCTAATTTGTTTTGTGAATATTATACCTTCCCTTATCTCTCTGAGGCATAAATCATAGCTTTACTGTTGAAATATGTTTTAGTTCCTTTTCTTATCTTTGGATTATCTCTGTTTTCTTTGACTCTCCACTTTTCTTAATCTTTTTTTTTTTTTTTTTTGCCTTCACATTTGGAGAAATATCAAATATCTGATACCCCTTGGCAGTCTGTCCAAATTAGGTGTCTGACACCAAAGAGTTGACTAGAAGCTCTGTAGGGTTTTTGTATCTGGTGGATTCACTCTGGAGCCACTTCAGCTAGTCATTCCATTGGATGAAACGCCCTCCACCCCCCCACCCTTTTAACTAGATATATATTGTTTTTTCTCTTAAGCTCATAAGTGTTCCCAAAGAGGACCCATCCACTCCCCTGTGTATTTGAGGAGTGGGTGGGTAAGATCAAAGGTTGGCATGGCTCTTAGTTTTCGTGGTAGGGTAAGGGAGTCCCAAGGGTCAGTGTGTAGACCTGAACGATCTTTCTAATTGCTGGGTGGCCTCTCTCCCTTCACATCGCCTAAGTCCCTTAGTCCAGAGTCCTCTAAGTCTTCAGAGAATAAACCTCCATTCTTCTCCCTGGAGCCCATTAAGAGTGGTCACCAGGCTACAGAGTAGTGGAGGAAAGAAACTTGCTGTAAAGGCTTTCAGCCAGTCCTCCCACTTTAGCAGCCTCAACACCCACCTTCAGAGGCACTGTGCCTACAGTTTCTGAACTTTCTAAAATTGTGCCATATGAATTGCTTTGCACCTCAGTTTTCCCTTGCCTAATGTCTATTCCAGATCTCTCTACCCTGCTAAGTCAGTGATCTATCCCTAGTCGAGCAGTTTTCTGGCTTCTGCGCAGTCTCTTTACCCTTGTGTACTGATGCCTTTTTTTCCCCCTTTCACTATCACTCAGTAAGGTTTCAAGGAAGCTCAGAGGGAAATGCATGTGTTCAATCCACTATGTTTAATTGGAAGACATTAACCTATTTTAGAGATAGAGAAACTGAGGCCCAGGGAAAGATAATGACTTGCCCCAGGTCCTACAACATAACCAGGCTAGAAATAAAGTGTCTAGTCCTCAGGCCAATGTTCTTTGTGAAGGAACTGAACAGGTGTGAAAACAGAAGGGTGGTTTGGGGAGGAGGTACTGATAAAAGGAGCATGCTGGTAGGAGTGGCCTAAGATAAAAAGAGATACTTTTATCCTTGGGTTTTCTGCTGACATTTCACTGTTTTCAAATTCCTTTAAGACCTTTACTGTCTGTAGGTACCACTCTCTGTGTTTACCACTATGCTATCTCAAGTCAGACTCCTCACTATTTCTATTCTCTACTCCATTCTTTCTAGAAATATATAATATTTTAAACATGTGATTCCACTCAAATTGCCCATCTCAAATGCTAGCAATGACTCCTCATTGCCTATGAGGTAAAAACCAAATTCTCTAGTTATCTCAGTAATTTAAGCTTTTAGACTATTTGGGGAGAGGGGCTGATAGGAAGAGAGCAGATAACTTGACAACACAAGGGACAGTAAGTGTAGGTGACAGGGAGAAGAAATTAAAGATGGCTCTAAGGTGATCAGCTTGGGTGACTGAGTCAAATTAGGACTGGGAAGTCAGAGATGCCAATGAGCTTGGTTTTAAACATGGTGACTGTGGTTTGAGAGGCATGTAGAAATGTCTGGCAGGAGTGAACATCGCAGCCATGCATCATACTATTTCAGGATTGGCAAGCTCTTGCATGTTTCCTCATCCAGTGCTGGAAAAAGTGAAAGAATACGATAGCTCCGGGGGTCACCAAATCAAAGGAAGTCTCTTCTGGACGGGGGCATTTGGGTATAGATTTAAGTAGGGGAGAAGGAAGAATAAGAAGGGACCAGCATATCAGTATTTCTTTTTTTTTTAAATATTTTATTTATTTATTTGAGAGAGCGAGAATGAGAGAGAGAGAGAGCACATGAGAGGGGGTAGGGTCAGAGGGAGAAGCAGACTCCCCGCCGAGCAGGGAACCCAATGCAGGACTCGATCCTGGGACTCCAGGATCATGACCTGAGCCGAAGGCAGTAGCTCAACCAACTGAGCCACCCAGGCGCCCTATCAATATTTCTAATCTCTCTTTTTTGGTTAAAACTGAAGCATACCTAAAACATAATTGCCTGATCCTTGGGGTGATATTGATAGCTGTATTACTTTCCTATTTTAGTTGTAACAAGTCACCACAAATTTAGTGCCTTAAAACAACACAAATTTATTATCTTACAGTTCTGGAGATCCAAAGTCTAAAATCAGTCTCACTGGGCTGAGGTCATGTGTCAGCAGAGCTGGTTCCTCCTGGAGGCTCTGAGGGGAAATCTGTTTCTTTGTTTTTATGAGCTTCTAAGAGGTGTCTGCATTCCTTGGCTCATGGCCACTTCTTCCATCTTCCAAGCCCATCATTCCAAGCTCTGCTGTCACCATTAAATTTCCTTTTTCCCCACGTTGACACTCTTGTCTCCCTCCTATGAGGACCATTGTGATTACATTGGGTCCATCCTGATAATGTAGGATAAGCTCCTCATCTCAAGATCCTTAAATTAATCACATCTGTAAAGTCCTTTTTCCATGTAAATTAACATATGCACAGGTTCTGGGAAATAGGGAATGGATATCTTTGGGGGGCCATTATTCTGCCTACCACAATAACTCTCTGTTAACACTCATGACCCTCAGTTCTTGTGAAGATATGTCAAGATATAGATAAAGAGAGAGAGAGAAATGAATGAGTGGATGAATGCATGAAGAGCTTTTAGTGATTCAACAAATATTTATTATTGGTCCATTATCTTCTAGGTTATGTTTTAGACTATCTGCTAAGGAGATCTAGGAAACTAGATCTGGTGTTTATTCTTTCAAACGTGACCCCACTTGATCTCAAAGCATATTCTGTGTCATATTAAAATGGTAACCAGTTCTTGGGGTGCCTGAGTGGCTCAGTCATTAAGTGTCTGCCTTCGGCTCAGGTCATGATCCCAGGGTCCTGGGATCGAGCCCGGTATTGGGCTCCCTGCCCTGCGGGAGGCCTGCTTCTCCCTCTCCCACTCCCCCTGCTTGTGTTCCCTCTCTTGCTGTCTCTCTCTCTGTGTCAAATAAAATAAAATCTTTAAAAAATAAAAATAAATGGTAACCAGTTCATTGATTACCATGGAATTAAGACAGAAGAAAAGAAGATAAACTTATTTCTCTTTTTCTGCTTCTGAATATTTGCCTACAAAGACAAAGAACAAAATAATACAGATCCAGAAGTAGAAAAATATATCCAGGTCAAAGAATACATCTCGTTGCACTGAATGAGGGTATATGCGATGGGTGTTTGGAACGGAGTATCTGGGTGGACGTCTCCAGGTAGCTTGAGTTCTACTGAGGATCACGAGGCCCCTAGCTGTCCTCCGTGTAAGCTGTAGGTGTGACCCTAGTGTAGAGGGGGCTGTTCTTCCTCTAGTCTGAGGGTATGACCCTATTGTAGACCTCGAGATTATCCTTGGCATGGTCCATGTGGCTTGTGAGAATGACTGCTGTGTAGACTGTTGGCGGGCCATCCTTAAAACCTCAGAGTATGTCCTCCAGGGTGTCTGTGGTGCTATCTCCTGTGTGGGTTGTGAATTTTCCTGTGTGGCCTGCCTATCTGCCGTTGGGGTGGGCGGTCTACTAGTCTCCCCTTTGGGCTGAGGCCCTGCTCCAGGAGCTTGGGTCTCAGCAGTGGTATGGCGGGACCCTGACTCCTTCAAGATATAGTTAGACCCACACTCCTGGTTTTGGCCAGACACGTCACCAATGTGACAAGAGGAACTCCTAATATCCATAAAGGTGGATGGGGATATTGATGGCTCTGTCACGTTGTTTCGTGACCTCCATAAACAGCAGCCCAGGGTGCATGCTTCACAATTTTTTGTGTCATGGGACCCATCCAAAGGCACCTCCCGGATGATTGGTAGCTCCGGAAACTTCCTAAAGCCATTCCCATAGAATTTCTCCAGAATACGCCGCACCACGTTTTTCAGGATTCGCATGGCACTCTCTGGGGAGAACTCAGGATTCTCAAATCGAGACCAGGAACACTTCTGGCACCTCTGAGCAAAGAGCCGCATAATCACCTGGCCCTGGGACTTCTGGGGCTCCAGGTGCATGTGACAGAGGATATGCACTTGAGCGGAAGCCCAATTTCGCCGGCATGAGGAACACTGGAACCTGCAGACAGAAGGAAGAAGGCTGTTGTGCCTTCAGGTGATCGTTGACCTGAAGGAGGTGGGCCTGGTCTTGGTCTCTAAGATTTCTTCCAATATGAGAAGGTGCATATGATGTTAACAAATTGCCAAATAAGAATGAAAGGGATTGTGTTTTTTAATAAAGCCTTTTCCTGTGATCCGCTGAGCTTCTACCCTACGTGGTCCCAAGTTTGCCTCTTTGCTACTAAAACATCTCTGGATGTCTCAGAGGGAAAAGTAGTTCTGCCATCTGCCAGCAAAATTCGGTCCTCCTCATGATCGTAGAAAACGTATAAAGCAACTACTTTGAGGGGGGCACTGTAATAGGGGCTGCAATATTATCCCACTTCATCTTTAAAGCTCCCCTCTGAGGGAGGCATTATTGAGCCCAATGTCAAGATAAGGAATCTGAGTCATAAAGGGATACCCAGCTTGTTTTTAAATATATATATTTAAAACCATTATCTTATGGGAATGTAGACGAAGGAACACTTACTCCACCTAGGAAGACCAGGGAATGCTTTAAGGAGGGGGTGGCACTTGAGTTGGTCCTTGAAGGATGAGTACAGGGGAAGGAGGAAAGGGCCTGCCCAACAGGCATAATATCATGATAAGGGAACAGAAGTCTGAAAATGCATGGGCATGGTTTGTAATCCATAAGGATGAAGCAGAGGACAGATGGAGTCAGGGTGGGGCAGAGAGGGCTGCAGGACAACAGGAGAGGTGTGCCGCATAAAAGGATACCTGGCTGCCCAGGTCAACATTTCTCCCTGCCCCCGCTACCCCGCCCCGACCCAGGCAAGGAAATTGCTCCCTGCAGTATGCAGGCTCTCTGGGGGTGAAAAGGGGAGATGATATATATAGAGGACTCCAGGAACTAGGTTTTAGATATCTTTCTTGCTGCACCATTCCCTCTATTATCCGCAGGCCTCCAGCAAAGTCATGTTCAAAGTGATTGTGTGGGGACTCCTGGGTGGCTCAGTCAGTTGGGCGTCTGCCTTCGGCCCAGGTCGTGATCCCAGGGTCCTGGGATCGAGCCCCGCATCAGGCTCCCTGCTCAGTGGGGAGCCTGCTTCTCCCTCTCCCGCTCCCCCTGCTTGTGCTTGCTCTCTCTCTCTGACAAATAAATAAATAAATGTTAAAAAAAAAAAAAGTGATTGTGTGGCCTCCCTCTATTCTTGGGGCTTTAAGGAAGGCCCTGGTCCCGGGCTGGTGCTTGGGCCAGGAGGGCTGCTGCAGCCTGGGGAAGTCAGGACTGAGGGCAGAAATAGCAGAAGTCTCTAGATAGAGGCAGTCTGGAACAGGAGGTGGTGAGAGAATGGGAGGGCAGATGTGTGCAATATGGAAGCATTCCTTGAGAACTTCCAGAAATATTTAGGGAGGAAACCTAGCAAAAAAAGAAACTTCTTTTTGTGTTATGGCTAAGCAAAATGGAAAGAGCATCATGGCCACGAAAGAATGGAGATCCTGGGGACACTGGTTCCTTTAACAAGCTCTCAAAGGAATCAGTCAGTCGCTGCTAAGCTGACCCCCTTTGCCAGAGAAAGTCTGCTGAGAGGCCAGCTCTCACTCACCTGCCAAATCCTTTCTGCTGGTACTGCTTCCAGCCTTCGGCAAGGCAGTCCGGCTCCAGTTTCTCATCCAGCTTCAGGGTCCATCTGGCCCGGGGTTTCTCCTGCTGCATCAGCTCTTGAAATGTCTGCTCCCAGGTCTGGACGTCTAAAACTGTTTTTCCCCCCTGAGGCTGGGAAGCCATGCCTAGTGAGTAACTCAGTCTTACTCAGCCACCAGCAAGAGGCATAAGAAAAAAAAAAAAGCAAAAAACACATCAGTTTCGGTTTCTCAGTCTGGAATGCGTCAGCTAGCTTATCTTTCGTTTCAGACTGTGGAGTGCACAGAACAGGTCTTTGTTTTGAAGACAGAGGGCAGCAGAGTTTTGCCTGTTTGTGAACAGGCCTCTGAGAGATATTTGAGTACAGAGCTCTGTTCTAGATTCTGGAGGCACCGATAAGTGACTTGGGTATTTTATTTTTCTCTTATTGGTACACCAGGCAATGCCCTGTGCTCGGTGCTGGGATAAATGCCGCTAAGAAGCCGTTTCTCCCCCCAGCAATGCTCACACTCTCGTGCAGACACAGGAAGGTAGCTGGGGGAGCTTGTGTCCCATGCTGGTCTCGTGCACCCAGTGACCCCTCCCTACATCCCCTGGAGGGATTATTCCCGGTCTTCTTCAGGGGATAGCACAGACTTGTGCCTGCTACCTTGCCCAAAGCCACACAGCCACTGAGCAGTGTAGGCGGTGAGACTTGAACCCAGGCCTGGGGGGCTCCAAAGCCTGTGATGTCTTTACCCACCTCCTTCCCTGAGAAGACGCTGAGGATGGTATTTCAGGTTCTAGGCTGGCACCCGGGAGCCAGCGTGGGAGGAAGCATCTTGAAACCTGACCTGGTGCTTTGGTCTAGTGAGCTCTCCTCGGTCCTGGGACAGGACACCAAGTTAAACGAAAGGATTATTTAACTCTGCCACTTGCCATGTAAATTATCTTGCAGGGTGGGACGCAAGCAGGTGTGGGAGCCATCTTTTGGGGACAGGATAGAGAGAATTCCCACTCGGGGGGTGAGGGACTGGAGCTAGAGGACCTTTAAGTCACTTCTAACTTAGAGTCTGAGATTCTAGAAGGTGAGCTCTGTCCCTCTGGAGTTTAAACTCAACTGGGGGAGATAAGGCAAGCAGGACCTTATGTCCTTGGAAGCCCCACTAGGGTTACCATGTCCCAGACAAGAGCAGCCTAAGCCTTCTCAGACTTTCTAGACTTTCACATGCTCCCCTTCTTCCCTCCCTCCCAGGAGGTTCTGTTTTATACAAATGCTCTGCTTTTATAACTTTATAACATCGAGGGCACCTATGTCTACACAGACAATGTAGGAAACTCTTGTGTATCTAGATAATTATAGGAACTTGGAATTGAACCCACAGGATATAAGAAAAACCTGGAAAGCCCTTAGGAATAAACTTTTTCTCTTTATGGCAGTCGTCCACTTGATAATTTATTTCCATATTTACTCTAGCTTGGGGGGTGGAAGGGGCTGGAGGGATTTGGTTTGGTTAAAGGAGAGAAATAAGAAACAAGAAATGTAGTACCAGGGCGCCTGCGTGGCTCAGTTGGTTAAGCCTCCGACTCTTGATTTCAGCTCAGGTCTTGAGCTCGGGGTCATGAGTTCAAGCCCCATGTTGGACTCCACGCTGGGCATGGAGCCTACTTAAAATTTAAAAAAAAAGAAAGAAGGAAAGAAAGAAAAAGAAATGTAGTCTCCCTAACATAGCAATAATTTTACTTATACTTTTAAACATCTCTTCGACTAGCAGAAACTCTATAGGTAGATGCAGAACAGATGCAGAAAATGTTTAAGGTGGTTGATCTGGGGAACAATGAGGCTGGATGACCCTAACCTAAGTCCATTTCCCTGCCTTGGGGATTCACAATAAAGAAAAATGCATACTAGGATTGGAGTGCCCGCTGTAGGTTGGTGATGCCAGACAGCTCTTCACCTCCCGGACCTGAGGATGACCTGTCCAATAAGTGGCAGAGCCAGGACTTCAACTTCTCTGAGGCCACGCTAAATCCCATGAAAGGCTTATGTAAAGAAGGAATGGGTTACTAATGGTAGAAGAACAGGCAGAAGGCAGAAGGAGCAATTCGGGGGAATCCGAGTGGGGGTCTTCATGCTACTCCTCTAACCATTGTGCTCTCTGGGCTGGGGCTCCTGGGCATATTCCAGGAAGGATTACTGCTCCACTTAGGACTGCTTCTCAGCAAAAGGTAGAGAATGGTGGGACTAGGGCCCAACCCGGGTGGCCTGGCTCTGCTCTAGGTTCTGAGCTAGAAGGATACGCTGAGAAAAGTGAGACAGGGAAGGTGAAGGTAGATGCTTCTTCTGGAGCCTGGAGGGGAGGAAAGGGGTTAAGATCACATTGTCCCAGGGGCGCCTGGGTGGCTCAGTTGGTTAAGCATCTGCCTTTGGCTCAGGTCATGATCTTGGGGGCCTGGGATGGAACCCCATGTCGGGCTCCCTGCTCATCAGGGAGTCTGCTTCTCCCTCTGCCTCTGCCTCCTCCCTCCCCCGCCGCCCCACGCTCATGCTCTGTCTCTGTCTCTCTCTGTCTCTCTCTCTCAAATAAGTAAAATCTTAAAAAAAAAAAAAAGATCACATCGTGCCAGAATGTAATGGGAGGGGCAGGTTCTCCTCACCACTGCCCCTACACTGCACATTATAGATACTCACAACTACCCACAACAGAAAGCAGAATAAGACAGTTGTCTTTAAAAGGGCAAATAACACATCTATTAAATACGTATAATCTGCTCGCCCTTATTCTCAGGCTAGCAAGAAAGATCTATGAAGAAGCATCTACCTTCACCTTCCCTGTCTCACTTTTCTCAGCGTATCCTTTTAGCTCAGAACCTAGAGCAGAGCCAGGCCACCCGGGTTGGGCCCTAGTCCCTCCACTCTCTACCTTGGCCTGGGGAAGCTCTTTCACTGCTCTGTACCTAGGTCTCTCCATCTAAAATGTGGCGATAATAATACCACCTTACCCCCCAGGGCTATTCTGAGGATTGAATGAGTTTAGAAATGGTTATCAGCACTTGGCAAGCAAATAGAAGTGTTCATTACCTGTTGTCGCTGCATTGCACGTTTCTTTAAGTTACCATAAAGCCTTTCTTTTTTTAATTTAATTTAATTTTGTTATGTTATGTTAATCACCATACATTACATCATTAGTTTTTGATGTAGGGTTCCATGATTCTTTGTTTGCATATGACCCCCAGTGCTCCTTGCAGAACGTGCCCTCCTTAATGCCCATCACCGGGCTAACCCATCCCCCCACCCCCCTCCCCTCTAGAGCCCTCAGTTTGTTTCTCAGAGTCCATGGTCTCTCATGGTTCGTCTCTCCCTCCGATTTCCCCTCCTTCATTTTTCCCTTCCTACTATCTTCTTTTTTTTTTAACATATAATGTATTATTTGTTTCAGAGCTACAGCTCTGTGATTCATCAGTCTTACACAATTCACAGTGCTCACCATAGCACATACTCTCCCCAATGTCTATCACCCAGCCACCCCATCCCTCCCACCCCCCACCACTCCAGCAACCCTCAGTTTGTTTCCTGAGATTAAGAATTCCTCATATCAGTGAGGTCATATGATACATGTCTTTCTCTGATTGACTTATTTCGCTCAGCATAATACCCTCTAGTTCCATCCACATCATTGCAAATGGCAAGATTTTGGGATTTTTTGATGGCTGCATAATATTCCATTGTATGTATACACCACATCTTCTTTATCCATTCATCCGTTGATGGACATCTTGGCTCTTTCCATAGTCCATAAAGCCTTTCTTAAACACGTTGGGAATACAACAAAATAAAAGTATATATAGGTAGTAGTACAGGGTGAAAAAATATCAGGCTTCGGAGAACACAATAGTCACTTAAGAATTCAGACTGGGCAGAGACATACATTCCTATCACTGTACATTCTCAGATATACAGATACATTCTTAGATATTCCAGATATACACTCATTCCTATCATCCTACTGTTACGTAGCCCCCGGCCCCGCTCTGTGCACCTCCCTGGGCCAGGCCATGGCTCCCCCAGGACTCACATCCAGTCCCCAGCTCAAGAGCCAGCTACCTGTAAAAAGTGCGCTCAGAAGCGAAACAGTAGGACGCCCAGAGCCAGCTGCGGCTCAGGCCCAGGGCTATGCCTGCTGAGAACTCCATTCCAGAGAGCAAAGATCATGCCAAAAGGACAAAAAATAAATAAATAAGCCAGAGGAACTGGGTAAAGTCAGAAGACTTGGAACAAAAACTCACATGTTTTAAAGGAAGCAGCTGGTTTCAAAATTTCCGTGAAAATGTGCTTGGCTTCAGGCCCCACGCAGTCCATGTGGGATGCTGGGGTTTGCCCTGGGAGGCAGCCATTTGGATATTTGGGGTAGAAAGACCCTCGGTGAGCATGAATGAGGCTGAGCCCCAGAGAGGAGGGTGACCAACCCCAGGCCACCCGGCAGCCCCTACAAATAGAGCGCTTGACACTACTTTCTGTCTTTCAGTACAGGCAGCCTTAAAACCAGGGTGACAGCTATGCAGGTTCTGTTGCACGGCTGTGGTGAAGATGTGTTAAATCAGGGTCTTTAAGCCCCTCACCCCTCCGCCCCCTACTGCAGACCAGTTCACTGGCTTTTCTGCTCTCCCAGACTCACTTTACCCAACTGTTCCCGCCCCCGGGGATCACTTCTTACATTAACCACCTGTACCAAGTTCCTGCCTCAGGCTGTGCTTTCTGAACCCCAGCCAAGACAAGAGCAACTTAATTAATTTTTCTTTACTTCCTTCTCTGTGTACAAAGGCATTTTCTGATCTGACACACCAGGAGCCAAGAAGTCATCACTGCCGTCCTCACAAGAAAAAAACTGAACAAAGTGAAAACTAACAACTCTTCTTAGATCCATCAGAGAAATGGGGTTACAGGGCAAACTGCTGCCCTGAAAACTGGAGAGACAGATGGGTGGACACAGAGAATCACAGCTTACCAAGCCAACAGCCCAGGAGCGGAAGCCGCCCCCGCTGGAACCAGCAGGAATACTTGAAACTGTCATTGGCCAGTTGCTGGAGGCTCAATGAAGACTAGCTTAAGCATTGAAAATCCAGGAGGCCCAGTCTTAGGGGAGATTCCCATACTTCCGTGAACTCTACCTCCAGGAACCCTAC